TTAAGGTATATTAGCGATAATTCCCTAAATATATTGAGTTGTCTTACTCTCAAATTTACTTTTAGTTTTCTAGATAAGAGTATTTGTAATTTCGTGTTTGTTGTTTCGTTCTTGAGTCTTCTTGTAGGTATAGTTCTCTCTCTCTCTCTCTCTCTCTCTCTCTCAATCCATTAAGAACCTGTCTTGGTCTAGATCTTGGTTGAATTCAATGTTGCATTGGCTGATTGCATCTATGAACTCACTTTCGTTGTGTATCTCATGATCAATGTAGAAATGAGTAGGGTTAAGTTAGTACCTTGCTAAGTTTAGGGGGCTCATAAGCTGTGAGTTCCATTTCTCATCTATAATTTTCAAAGGGCTATACTTTACTTCATCATTGCCAAACTCCTCATCTATAATTTTCAAAGGGCTATACTTTGCTTCATCATTTCCTAATATTTTTTTGATTTCATCCATGGCAATCTCATTGCTTTCTAAATATGACCTATTGTTCCTTCTTACTATGAACCAACTACAGTCCCTTTACTAATAATAGGCTAAAAATACCTAATACACACTGATGCAGTCCAAAATCGTGAGTCCAAAAGAATATTAACCCCTCTTTCCTATGTGCCCTCTTAGCCCACGTGCTTTGGTCAACCCTATACACTTTGCATATAGTTATCAATAAGAGTTGCCTCGTGTTGTGCATCACATCACATCCATGTATGTCTTCTTTTTTAGAGGCTTTGATGGACATCCTTTAGAGTGCAAGTGAAAGAATTCTCCATCTGTTCACTTTTTTTGTGTGGTTGACTGGTGTTGTTCATTCTTTAAACTATTTTTAGTCAACATTTAGTTTATTCAGTTTGTTTAGAGTGCCATAGACCTAACTGTGCAAGGAGATGTCTTGTTCTAAAATTTCCATAATTTGTTCTCTAACACTCATATTTAAAAAACATCATGGGTAATGATAGATTGAGATGTATCCAACTTTGTTTTGTGCACATGGGAGTGAGAGTGTACACATATTTCCATGCTTCTTGTTTTTTAGTAGTAATGCATGTTAGATCTTGTAGGCATTGTAAGAAATTTTTTGGGTCTGTGATAGTCAGATGAAAAAAATAAAATAAATTAAGATTCACAAAATCCCAATGATCCAAAGAGGAGGGAGTTTGGAAATTTGAGATTTTGTACTCATTCACAACTACCCTCAATTCCCTAATTCGATAAAAAAGAAAACATTAAGGTAGTTTTAACTAATATAAGGGCGACCTATTGTCAAAAATTTTGGAGTAATTCTAAAATCATCAATAGGATAGTGCATTCTGGTACATATGTATGTATAAAGGAAGGTGCTTCAGAAGTGCTTTATCCATGTTGGAAATACGACATAACAAGGACGGTGGAGTTTTCCCATTGTATTATCTGGGCTAAATTAGAGGTCTCAGTATGTATGGAATTTCGGTGAAATTGTAAGTAACATTTTTTACTTCAATTATAAAAAACAAAATTGCAATTTTCTGGATTTAGTTCCTAGCTGATGGTGTTGGCCATTATATCCTTTTGACTCACAAAGGTCAGAACTTATATTTGGTTAAATTTTGATCCACAATAGCCAAATAGAAGGATAGCTTCTTCTGGACTATTGGTTTCAATGCTTTTACTAAGCAAGTGATGCATTGCCTTGTGAGCTAACAATTGTGACAGAGGTACCAGCAAGCCAATGAAAACAGTGAACAAACCACTACCAAGTCTTTGAGAAAATAGGAAATGTAGCTGCAACTTTCTGTACGAGTTCATATAGGAAAATGTGGAACATAAAGGATGGAAATTTGATTTTTTTTTGTGCATGGTTCTTTAATACTGCAAAGATGAAGAAAACACCCACTTTACTCATTTAAAAAACAGATCAAAAAGGGAAAAAAAAGCACGGAACTATAAATCAAGACCAAATATCTTGTTAATGCTCCTGGAATGACTGCGTCAAATAGACACAAGTATAACTTGAACTTTTTCATTAATGTTAACGAATGGCTTTTCATATCCTGCTGGGCCTGCAGGACCTCACCTTGTTACGCAGCAGCTCAATTGATTTTGAAACTTTTGGTTCATGAAATAATGTATCAAATTTTACGGTGAAGATGGAGGATTGGGGTAAGTTCTCGTCTCCTTGCTTTCCCTGTGAAATAAAGATTAGCTGCAGTTAATATTTAGTTTTTAGACTGAATGGATACTTTGTATGCTTCAATATTCTAATGCACTAACCATGGTATTACTGGACCAAACCATGGGAAGTTATGAACATTTGTTGCCATGAGATGTGTAGGATTATATGCATGCTGATGAGTGTGGCATGCTGCTGGACGTCAATATGTGTTAGAAGGCTTATCATCTTAAACAAGGGAGTCTAAAGTGGAAATAGTCAAGTCTTTTGGAAGAACATGAAGCTTTTCTCAGTAATGCATATTTACCTTACAATATATTCTCTTTTTGTAATTCTTTTCGGGCATGCAATGAGAAATGGAGCATCAACATGTGAACTTGTGCAAATATAGGGCTCACTGGTATTAAGAGGATAAGTTATTTTTTGAGATGGGAGATGCAACCTTTATTCTTCGTCATTTGTTATCCAAATCAGATGTAATTGTCATTCAGAATTGGGTGGGTTTGGAAACATAAGGGTGGTATCTATCATTTTCAGAGTAGTATTTGTTATGTTTCTAGACTGGCAACATATCTGTGAACTTTCAGGGATTGTACCTTTTATAATTGACAAGCCTCTGCCATTTAGTGGTTTTTTATTTTTTTTATTTTTTTGTTAAAAAGATACTTGACTATAAGGAGTGTTTCTTCATGGACAAAAAACGACTACGACCTATTGTTTCATATAGCTGTGATTTATTCCTAGATGCATCCGATTCCGAGTTAGCCAACTCATCTGCCACTGTATTTACCTTCTGAAAAATATATTTAACAAATTATTGAGAACTGGTCTTGGTTCTGTTAGTTCTTTTAAAACTATTGATGGCTTTCCAAATTTTCTTGATCACAGTGGCAGTATCGAACTTTATGAAACTGATGGATTATCTGCAGTTTTTCCTATCTTATCATGCGGTTCAAAATGCACATCACTATTTTAATTTTAATTTTTTATATAAATCTGATTAATATGAAATTTTGGGTGTATATACCTAACACTATTGCGCACGATATAAAAATATGAAAACATTATTTTCAATAATTTAAAATGACCATACTACCCCCATCATTTTTCAAGGGTATTTCGGTCATTTTATATTTTGGAATATATTTTTTATTTGTGCGCCCTATTTTTAAGTATACATGTCTAAAATTTCATTATGATCTGATTTATAAAAAATACTTAAAATTAAAACAATGATATGCATTTTGTACCGTATGATGAAGATCTAATGGCTTCCATTCCACCTATATTACTATTCATTATAGCTTGCCAGCTATTGTTAGCTTTCTCCTATATATATATATACACCTATGGGCGAAAATGAATAGTATTTTTGCCCCTAAGGTCGGCGCCTCCGGATTTTTTCAAAGGATTAAGGACCGCTACGGAGCTAGCTATTCCATGGCTGTACCCCCATCACGAGCATAGCACTTTATACTGGCATCCTTTGACAAAGATCTGTCTCTGACTTATTTGCACTGTTTTTTAGTGAGAGAAAGAGAAGTACTCTAGGCCATTAAAGATCTCAATGGAGACCGGGACCTCAGCCTTGACGGCTTCCCCATAGCCCTCTTCGAAGTCTTTTGAGATACCCTTAGGACTGATATCGTGGCTTTCTTTTCTTAATTTCACTCTCGAGCCACTATCCATAAGGTGATGTATGTCACTTTCATTGCCAAGATCCCCAAGAAAGAGGGAGCATAAGAGCATAAAGACTTCAGACCCATTAGTCTGATTAATACTTCCTACAAAATTCTCTTGAGGGCCTGGCTTCCTGCCTTAAATGTGTCCTTGGTCAGGTGATCGTATCATCCCAAGGGACCTTTGTGAAGGAATGCCAGATTCTCGATGGGGCTCTAATAGCACACAAATGCATACATTCCCGCCGTAGTGCAAAAATCTCAGGCTTGGTAATAAAAAATCTTTTGATCATGTGGACTGGGAAATTATTGATGAGACTGTCCAGAATGCCATTTGGCTCTCGGCCCTTCCCTCTGTAGCCACCAAGGCTGTGCTCCTTTTTGCTCCCAAAATCCAGCTTTCTACTTGGATAGCACTCCATGAAAGGGCTTTGACACTCGATCAACTATAGCGAAGGGGTATCCCTTTGCCTAACAGATGCACCATGTGCCTTAAAGCTGAAGAAACCAATCAACATCTATTTCTAAATTGCGAGGTTGCCTTGGCCCTTTGGACCCATATTGTGAAGGCTTTGAGGTCCTCTTTGGTAGGTCGATACACCACCGTCAGGCACGACATCAAAGGTATTGAGAAATGGAATAGGGAAGTTTGGGTTGTCTCATACCTAACCTGCCTAAAGAATTTTTTTCTCTTTCCCATCCGAAGTCAGCTGTAATTGTGCCCTACAAGGATGCCATTCTCAGTTCAATGGGGCATCTCTTGCCCTTTCTGCCTGGAATTAGAACCTGGGTGCCATTCTGCAAACAATTTGGTTCTAGGCCACCAACATCCCCATACAGGTGTGGCACATCGGCACCTTCAAAAACATTGGGGACTCTTGCGGTGCATTTAGCTTGGTCTACTAGTGGTCCTCAAGCACCCTTCCTCTTTGATCAATCCAACTTCTCATGGAATCGTTGGCCCCTTCCCTCATCCCGCCCTCCATTTGGTTGAAGCTGATGGCCTCTTCTTCAACATTCCCTTGGCTTGGTCCTCCACCTCTCCTCCATCGTCCCGCCATCTTAAAGACCACGATCCTCCTCTGTTTGGATCACGTTCCTCGGTACACGAGGATGGATGGACCAAGGTCTCGCATAGAGGGCAGTCGAGAAATGACCATCAGCGTCCAAGTTTCGATCAAGCGGCTCACTGAGTTGGCACTAAGCAAACTGGTACCCCAAGAGCTTCACTACCTCTCGAGCTTCCCATCATTAAGGCCGATGGGATGATAGGTGGCTTCATAAACCCCATTTCCCAAGGCAAGTCATCCCTGTGCTTAGAGCAGGCAGCTCTATCTCCCCATCTGAAAAAACCACGTGGCTCTTTCTCGATTGTCCCCCCATCGATCCTCCCCTAGTGTGCATGTAACAATCTTAAACTTTAAAAAAAAAAAGAAGAAAAAAAAAAAGAAGGAAAAGAAACTTTTAATAAGTGATGGTCCATATGAGCATGATAGTCCTTAGGGACCATCACCATTTTCAAAGCTTTTAGTTTGAATTTGTTTGTTTGTTGTTGCCTTGCCACGTCCAGTGGACGTGGGCTTTAAGCGTATAAGAAGTAATATAAACGTTACACCTCGTGTATGAGGTGTAACTTAATAAAATATTATTATAAGGTGTCGTAAGAGTTTAAATACGAGAGGCGAGGTCTCTCTCTCTCTCTCTAGCCGAATTTTTATCGGAAGCTCCCTCTCAAAATATTTTAAGTAAGTGACATCGTCTTCCTGAAAAATAGTATGTTTTTAATAAATAGTGATATTTTCGTCCAGGATCTTTATTTTATAAGTTTTGTGTGTAAGTGACCTCATTGTCTCGAAAAATAATCCATTCTTTTTAAAAATAAAATGAAATAATTATTTCTGTTTATTGTCATGAATTTTAGGCGCGATAAATTTTATGCGCACATGACCTCATTATCTTGAAAAATAATCTTTTTAATAAAAATTGTGATATTTTATCTATGTTAGAAATTTTAAATGCTGTAAATTCTTAGAAAAATAAATTTAATTATTTTTCTTGTCTATTGTTAGAAAATTTTAGATACTATCAAATTATTAGAAA